GGGGGAGGCGGTTTTTTGCCTTTTTTACCCCCCCCCCCCCTTCCACAAACTCGAACAAGAAGCTTTTAGCCCCCAACCCCATAAAAAAAACAAAGAAATCACATAATTTAATAGATCATTGTGATGTCACGAGAATTTAAAAAAAGTGTCGCAGGTTTATGCCGCCAACAGTTTGGCCACCCCAGCGGTACCCATAATACATGTCGCTCTGGGTTAAATGTTGCCCTCAGCAGGGCCATGAGAATGGGGCAAAGAGGGCAGACACAGCGGGCGTCAAAATATTCGTTAGATAGGATCTTAATAGTAATAATAATAATAATAATAAAGTTCATTTCAAAAACACGCTTCATCCCCAAGGGCTCGAAGCGCGGTACAAAGTCAACAAAAAACAAATCTATAATTTACCACATTTAAAACAAACGCAACACTACAAAAAAAAAAAAAAGTAAATTAGAATATCACATCTTATATACGTCAGAAAGACAAGGGGGCCAAAATCGTCTTTTTTTACTGATTCACCCCTGAGGCACTATTTCTATGTATTAAGTGGCACCATTTTTTCCGGCTTCACCCCAGGTGCAGCATTTCCTCCACAACAAACAAACAACAGTAAAAACAAAATAAAATGAAAATAGCACTTAACTCAGGGGTCTCAAACTCAAATTATCCAGGGGCTGCAGGATGTAGAGTCTGAGTGAGTTTGGACCGCATCAAGTACTCAACAAAAAAGTGATTACAACCTTGTGCTCAACCTTCATTAATAATAAATACAAATCTTAAGGGTTCTCATGAACTAGACTTCACATTATTCCTCCAACTCCTTGTTGCCAGAGACCTGGCAGCGCGTCTTCTTACACAGCTGAGCAACATTTGGCTTGAACAACCTGGAAATCTCAGGGAAGGTGGAGGGCAATTCTCTCATAAATTATCCATGCTTGTCTGTTTTTACATTCATCTCACATAGCCTTGAGTTCAGAATTGCACTGAAGATCAATCAGCTCCATTTGAAGCTCAGGCGGGGGAGGGGGGGGGGTGGGTGGGGCGGCGCGGCGCATCTTCCACATTAAAGAAGAAAGGATCAACAATAATTTAAAAAGTGGCTCTGTATGTTTTGAAGTCTGCAAATATGTGATCAAATTCTTCCTGCACCTTTGCAATGGCATCAGTAGACTTAACTACTGAATGGTGTGCCCAAGTCCATGAGACTTAGCATGTTGGGAAATGGCAGATGTTTCTCTGAGAACCATAACACAAGTTTTGTGCAAAATTCCCTGAAATTGTCATAGGCAACACTGACAAGCTACCCCTGGTCTTGTAACTTCTTGTTGAGTACATTCATCTCCTGTGTAATGTCAACAAGAAAATCCAAGTCCATGAGCCATATGAGATCACTTAGTACAGGAATAACAACCCCATCCTTCTTCATGAAGGCTTTGAAGGCTAAAACGTGTTCAAACGGTAGGCAGGAGCAGGCAATATTTATAGCTGACAGGCTTGGAATTTCCCTCATTTGTAAACATTAGTGGCAATTTTAATAAGGATTCTTTGATGCTGTGTCAGATTGCTATAATGTCACAATTATGGTTGTGCATTACTCACCAACTGACTTTTTCAACGTTTCTCAAAACCGCACTTGTTTGTCTCATAAAATGCTATAAAATAAAAACTTGTAGTCCGATTTTAAAATGGGTTTTACCATTATAATCAACGTCCAAACCTATAAAAAAAAAATAAAAATCAGAATTAGACTAGTCGGTGAAATTCGACTGAAACCGTCGCAGAGGGTCACATTATTGTAAATTATAGTTAAGAGAATAGGTAAAACGCACGGGCCACATTAACACTAAACTTTTCTGTCAGGTATTGAGCCTTAAAATATCGTCTTGCTGGTCGCACATAGACTCAGGCTGCAAGTTTGAGACTTCTGACTTAACTGAAAACAACAAAAGAATGTTGAAAACCTAAATTTGGATAGCGCCGGCAATTGAAACATTATAGGAACCACTGAACTTGCACATTGAAGATATGGTGGATGAAATATTACTGTCTTACTGCTAATACTGAGTACCATTCAAGTTTATATCTAGCTAGTTCATTTGTGAAAACAAAAAAATGACAACATTATGATGTTAATTCCTACACAACATTGCAAGATATTTTTACAGCATTGGAGATATAAATATGCTATTTCTGGACGGTCAGATGGAGCTGAAACTATTCACTGCGCTGGCCTTTGCAAAGAAATAAGATAACACAAATGAAAATAAGACCAGCAAGTCGTCGCTTCCAAAAGTACGGACATGCCGGACGACGAGAGGAAAGTACAGACAAATATGGAAGCAAAAATTAGTATGGACAAGGGGGTAAAAAAATACAAACTGTCCATACTAAATACAGACAATATGGTAACCCTAGGTTACTGCGTCTATTGTTACAAAATTTCTACATTATGGAAGTATAGTGTGTCAACAGAAGAGGAAGTGTGGTCAAGTAAATTTTTCAATAATGAGAAAATAATTCCTGTTTCTACAGAAGGTGAGAAAGATTTTTCAAAGTGAACATCATCATACATACGTTAGATGATTAAGTCATAGGTAGATTTTCATACTGTACACAAGTTGGATAGCCCTTGGCGGAGCCAGATGTGTGAGACAGGATGATGTATTGTGGAAATTTCTGGCTATGGTGTACAAGTATCCAGTTTTTATAGGAATGCGTGATTCTCTTGAGAAAGTCGAATTAACTTACTGGTCGATCAGCTTTCCCCTTTTGTTTAGAGTACCTTTCCAAAACTGTTTTACTTTGTGTGAACTTTTTAAAACAAAATTTATTATTTGGAATTGTTCTTCCACATTTTTCCAACATGGTCACCATTTACATTCACTAACATATGAGTGAAAATATTTCTCAACTATGAAGACTTTTGCTCAGTGGAGAGACCCATTTTTAACAACTGCCCGAAATATAAATGTTTTCACTGTTATGGTCATGTGGCAGCTGGAGCTATGTTTAGAAACACAATATGCATTCAAGATGCAGGGGTTTCAGTAATGCTTGCTTTGGCACATGCTGCACTATTTAATAGTAATTAACAGGGGCCAGGCCTAAATAACTATATGCACCGCTGCTATAACACAAAATTAAATAAATAGAGTTACATCTCAGGTGAGTGATAAAGAAAATACGACACAAAGCATCACATACAATGATACATGGCATAGTCCTGTTCAAAATACAATGCAAAGCATCACATACAATGATACATGGCATAGTCCTGTTCAAAATATGACACAAAGCATCACATACAATGATACATGGCATAGTCCTGTTCAAAATACAATGCAAAATCACATACAATGATGCATGGCATAGTCCTGTTCAAAATACAATGCAAAGCATCACATACAATGATACATGGCATAGTCCTGTTCAAATGCTCTCTACCAAAACTTTGTGTTGTCTACCTTTTAAATAAAAATTATGTTTTGTAAATAATGCTCACCATTTCAAATTTTTAAGTCATCTAGATGATGCACCATGCAAGAAAACAAGGTTCCAGGTGCCAAAAGCTTGGATATCAACTTCCGTAGTTTAGTCTGTGCAACCTGCATCTTACCTTTGAGTGGTCTTCTTTTTTGTGAAATTTGGAGCCTCATCTATGTTTATGAATCTTCAACAAAAACATATTGTTTATATGCAAGAAATGTAAGTAATCATTCAGAAAATGAAATGCACCTACAACTTATATTTATAGTGTTATGTAAATAGACCTGAAACTATGATAGCATAAGTCTTTGTGCATTGAAAATAAACCCTTTCCAAGTCAAACTTGTGAATTGCAGATTTCTATAAATTAAGCCTTTATAACTCTATTATAACTTTTGGTTAACATTTTATGTCCAGTTTAATATAACCAATTATAAAAAGTGTTGGACTGCGATAAAGCTTTAAAATTGATTAATAAGACACGAACAAATTGTGTCAATAGATCAACATAAGTTACGCTTTAATAATAATTATACATTATACTATACACAATTAAAAGTTTCGGCACATGCCTTCATCAGTACAAACAAATAAAACACATTTAAGTAAGTATAAATTAAATTTACATAATATCAATATACATATCCTACCTAAAACAGAAAAAATATAGGAGAGGGTGCTAAACCAGACGAAAACAAAGTAAAGAGGAGTTTTTGTTTTAATTAATATAACCAAGGATGCTCATTTAAAAAAAAAAAAATTAAAATGATCAAAACAGTTATGATGACTGATTTGCTTTATTTACACTTCTTTCAGGTTAAGAATTTTATGCCATCTGTCAGTGTGGCCATTGGGTCTTACACACCACAGAAATATGTATGGAACATCACTATAGCTGTGCACACAGCACCTCGCCTCCTCATGATGCTGGCTTACTACAACTTGTACAAGAGATTGTTTCAATGGGAGGAATGTCTCAGCAAGTTCTTCAGACTGCTTTCATTAATGTCACAACTGCTCAACATGACTGAAATTTTAACACTGATTGGGCTAAGTTTTGTCACGTCGCAAGATAACTATGGTATAAATTAAACATAATTCTCATTAATCGTTAACTCTTAATAATCTTATGTTTACATTTTCTTGAAGTACATCTATACATCTATTTATAAATTGTAAAGACTTTTGACCTAAATTGCAGAAACTATTTAAATTTAAAATAAATTTGAAATTTAATGTGAGACTCTATTTTAAAATTGGTTTTGAGTATATTCTGGACCTAGTTAATGCTACTTTTACTACTTTAAAAATCAATGGGCAACAAGATTCACAGTTGATATTTACTATTTACAACGTTAAGAGTAAGCTTGTGTTGTACGAATATTTACACATTAAGCAATCCAGATGGTACAGTTGAGATTTACTCAAGATGTACTAATTCAAATGTAAAACTATTACATATCTTGATCATATGATACTAATTTATTTCAATAATTGTTGAAACTAGACTTCTGAGTTGGGATGGGGGTTGGAGATGGAAATTAAAGATATTGTCATGGGAAAAGGTGAATATTTCTGTACTTGTCCCAGCTTCTTCCCCACATCACTCCCTCCCCACATCACTTCCTCCCCACATCACTTCCTCCTCATATCACTTCCTCCTCACATCACTCCCTCCCCACATCACTGCCTCCCCACATCACTTCCTCCCCACATCACTTCCTCCCCACATCACTTCCTCCTCACATCACTTCCTCCCCACATCACTCCCTCCCCACACCACTCCCTCCCCACACCACTCCCTCCCCACACCACTCCCTCCCCACATCACACCCTCCCCACACCACTTCCTCCCCACACCATTGCCTCCCCACACCACTCCTTCCCCACACCACTTCCTCCCCACACCACTCAATCCACACACCACTCCCACTTATGAGCACCAATTTTAAAATGCCCAGACCCTCATCTCACACAATCTTATTTTAAATTTAAATATTCCCTTGGATCTTTGTTAGAAAGTATAACTTATGATTTTTCATTTTCAGTATTTCACAAGGATTGTTTCATGACATTCTTATTTTGTGGGTCTGTGCATATGATCCTAGTGTGTGTCATTCACAAGTATGGATGGAGAGCTGCAAACTACAGGCTTAATATCAAGGTAGAACATGTGTCATCAAAAAATAAATGACTTATTTATCACTATATTATTATGCAAGATGATACTATGGGCATATATTAGTTAATAATATAAATACATAAATTGACCTTGATGAAAATTGTTTTGTCGCTCCAACTGGTGTTTAGTCAAAGTTACTTTTTCCATCCTTTTTTGCCCTGCAATAAGCTTGAAAATTATAACTAATTGTAATAAATAGCGGTTCCGATGTGGATGTAAGGGCTAGAATCAGAAAAGCTAGATCAGCATTTGTGCTATTAATAAATAGCGGTTCCGATGTGGATGTAAGGGCTAGAATCAGAAAAGCTAGATCAGCATTTGTGCTATTAAAGAAAATCTGGGAGTCGGAGGAGCTGAGCTGCAAACCAAAGTCAGAATCTTGAACACAAACATCAAAACAGTCCTACTATACGGAGTAGAAACTTGGAAAACAACGGCGAGCATTACGCAAAAAGTACAGACCTTCATAAACACATGCCTTAGAAAGATCCTGAAGATCAAATGGCCAAATACCATCACTAACAAAGAACTACCAGAAAGGACTTACCAGGTTCCCATTGATGAAGACATAATAAAGAGAAGATCGAGATGAATAGGGCATACTCTCTGAAAACCCCCAGATAACATCACCAGACAATTGCTAACATGGAATCCACAAGGAAAAAGGAAGAGAGGAAGGCCAAAGAATTCATAGAGACGCGAGGTAGAGGCAGGCACACAAAATATGGGATACGCCTGGAAGCAACTGGAAAGGAAAGCAAAGGACTGTGATGAATGGAAAATTCTTGTGGACGGCTATGTCCCAGATAGTGTAAAAGGCATAAGAAGAATAAGCTTGACAATTGTAACAAATGACAATTGGCAGTTTATTCATTTGCAATTAAAGGTAGCCTAAATTCTAAAATATTTTGCATGGGCTTGTAGAATAATGTATTTTGTTCACTCAGATTACTATTTTCCATTGCTGCTCAGTAAAGAAAGATTTCCCCCATAAGTGAGAAAATAGGGGAAATACTTTTTATCTTCATAATAAAAAATATTAAGCCCCATTATATGGCCTTAGAATTAACAGAATATGCAGAAGGAAATAAAGAAGTTAAACGTAGTATAAAGACAGATAAAAAGAACTACATAGAAGGATTAGCAAGTAAAGCAGAAGAGGCAGCGTACAATGGAAACACAATTAAAAAGTTATCTGGAAAGTTCAACAATCCAGTGAGACCAGTTAAAACTAAAGATGGGAAATCAATACCTGATGAAGTGGGTCAGAAAAAAATATGGATAGAGCATTTTGAAGAACTCCTCAACCAGCCAGACCCACATCACACACTTAACATAGAGCCAGCGGAACAAGATCTAGAAATAGATTGCAGCACACCCGCAAAACAAGAGATATGCAGAGCAATTAAACAACTAAAGAAAGGCAAGGCGGCAGGTCCAGACAGAATACCGGCAGAAGCCTTGACAGCAGATATTAAAACGAGCCCTGAAATGCTACACACACTATTCAAGAAAATATGGGAGGAAGAACAGGTACTGATTGAATGGAAAGAAGGACACCTCATTAAGCTCCCGAAGAAAGGAGACCTTAGTTCTTGTTCTAACTATAGGGGAATAACCCTGCTGTCCACCCCAAGCAAAGTATTCAACAGAATGCTGCTAAACAGAATGAGGGAGGCAATAGACACCAATCTTAGGGACCAACAAGCAGGTTTCAGAAAAGACAGATCCTGCACAGACCAGATTGCCACACTGAGAATTATTGTGGAACAATCCCTGGAGTGGAACTCGCCACTATACATCAACCTCATTGACTATGAGAAGGCTTTTGATAGTGTCGACAGACAGACTCTATGGAAGCTGCTTAGACACTATGGGGTACCACAAAAATTGACAGACATAATGAAGGCTTCTTACGAAGGACTGTCCTGCAGAATTGTCCACGGCCAACAAACAACTGCGGCTTTTGGGATACAGATCGGTGTCAGGCAGGGGTCTGCTTTCGCCTTTCTTATTCCTGCTGACCATTGATTGGATAATGAAAATGTCCACAGAGCAGAAGAGAAATGGTATCCAGTGGACACTATGGAAACAGCTTGATGATCTGGATTTTGCGGATGATCTGGCCCTAATATCACAAACACAGCAACAGATGCAAGAGAAAACCAATTATGTAGCACAGTACTCTGCTTGCATCGGCCTGAACATCCACAGTGGAAAAAGCAAAGTCCTTAAAATAAATACATCCAGCAACACACCTATAGCACAGGAAGGAACAAACTTTGAGGAGGTGGATAGCTTTACATACCTCGGCAGCATCATTGACATACCAGGAGGGGCAGACGCCGACATAAGAGTAAGAGTTGGCATGGCAAGAGCGGCATTTAACCAGCTAAAAAAAGTCTGGAGCTGCAGCAACTTGACCCTCAAGACCAAGGTCAGGATATTCAACACCACAGTGAAACCTGTCTTGCTATATGGAGCAGAAACATGGCGAACAACAGCAGCTCGTTCAAAAAAGCTACAGACGTTTATCAACTCATGTCTCCAAATGATTCTACGGTCGCCCAAAGTCATCACCAACGAGGATCTCTGGCGGCGCACACAACAAGAACCAGTGGAAGAGTTAATCTGCCAGCGCAGATGGAGATGGATTGGCCACACACTCAGAAAGCCCACATCAAGTATCACGAGACAAGCCCTCACTTGGAACCCCCAGGGCAAGGGAAAAAGAGGTCGACCCAAAACGACTTGGCGTAGGGAACTGGAGGCAGACACCAAAAAGAGTGGGGACAACTGGGGACAGCTGGAGAGACTTGCCCTAGACCGTGATGCCTGGAGAGCCTTTGTTTGTGGCCTATACCCCAGACGGGATGACAGGCGATGATGATGATGATATAGCCATAAGTAAATATCATTTGTCTTCATGTGCCAAGAAAAGAATAAACCCCTTAGTACCCCTTCTTATATTAATGATGAGTTAAAGAGATTTTACTGCAATTAAATTCATTAATAAGATAGCTCTTGTAATCTCTTTATTTCTTTCAATGCCATTATAGTGCACATTAAATTATTTTTTATTCATCAACCCTTTAAAGGGGACACAACTGGATGTTCTGAAAATACTACACTGTTCCATAGGTTGTTTCTCTTGTTAACTATGAGTTTGGTATCTCTTATAATATATTGCTTCTGGTATGTCCTGCTTTCTTTTCACAACCGGGCCTCCCCTTCTCACCATGCTTTATATTAATAGTACTGGGTAAAAAAAAAAAGCTGCCATGAACCGAACGTCATGGGTGACAGTTGAACTCAGGTAAAAAGGTTGAATTCTTTCAGAGGTTATTATTATATTAATCAATAAAGAGGCACAGGTGTGGTGTAGGACTGTCTATAGGACTATTGTTTAAATTATGGCTGTTAGGGTGTAGGACTGTCTATAGGACTATTGTTTAAATTATGGCTGTTAGGGTGTAGGGCTGTCTGTAGTACTATTATTTATAGAAAATGAGAAATTAACCGCCGGTTATTTTTTCAAAATACTCAGACCACGCGTAAAAAAACTCTACCCAGATAATGCAATATTTCATTGTATACTGGTGTTGTTTTTTTATTTTTTGGTACTACACAAGAAATTTAGGGAAATGAATTATATAATCCAGCAGCTTTACTACCAAGGAGAGATTTTTTATTCCTAGACCAGACGTAACATACTTGTGAAATTGTACTCTTTATGTGTGTGTGTAAATTAATATTTGTATCTTTTGAGGATTGTACCTTTTCACTTACTGTTCTGTAATTTGATATAGTTTTGTTGTTTCTGTATGTTTGATTTAGTATTTTTATATAAATTTAACCTTTTTGCTACCGATGACGTCAGGACGACGTCACGACCACCCACTTTCAATTACCAATGACATCACATTGTCATCAAAACAAAGAGGCAAAGAACTTTTCTGAAATACCATGGACGTCATGTCGACGTCCTATTTCAATGCTGTATATTTCTTTATTCGTTATTCTATAGAGAGGTTAAAAAGCGAATCGGAAAGAGAATGAAAAATACCGAAAATCATCCAATTTTATAATATCTGAAAATGAGCATGGTGAAGCCTTTTTATGCCATTTAGAAAGGATCACACTTTTTATATTCCATCTGTCTTCATCTAGGAGAGGAAATCCTTGAGGCTAAAAGTAGCAGTGCTTGTTTTGAACATGAGCTCCATTTTAGCTGCTGCCTACTTCTTCCACAGGCACAACAGCTACTGTGAAAACAACGGTAAGTTTATTGGTTTCTCCACTACTTGTGGACGACAGCTGCAAAATTCCACATGGCTATGAAAAGCTTTGATTACAATGTCAACATTTAAAAAAATAGGCAATGAGTAATTTGTAGCATGACTGAATGTAAATAAAATTTCAAAGCTGCCATGCAGATTATACTCTCATGAATTCAGCAGAAATCTTCATCAAAGGGAGTATGGAGTATGAATTATTTCCTGTATGTTTATTTATTCATGGCTTGTGACACATTTCTAATGGTTACCTACTGTAGGGGACTAGCAACTTATTGTCATTAATGTCATCCCAGCTGATTTCATCCCAGCTGATGTCATCCCAGTGCAGTGTAACACCCGTGGACCTCATCCTATACCAGACAAAACAGAATCTCTAGTCTTGTTACAAGTTGATTTAGAAAGTAATTTTGGTTTTGCCTATTCTAGTAACATACCTTTTGAGGAACCCTGCAGTTATATTATGACTGTGATGAGATGTTACTGTCACCCTGAAGAAATGTCACTGTGACCCTGAAGAGATGTCACTGTGACCCCAAAGTGATGTCACTGTGACCCCGAAGTGATGTCACTGTGACCCCGAAGTGATGTCACTGACATTGTAGTCTCGATTTCCATCAGGAGATACAATTAATTAGTATTTAAAAAAACAAAACAAATCTGTTTCCTGAGAAATGATTGCCACACAGGATTTGTCACGTAATATTTTCTCTAAGCTTAAAGCTATAGAGTTATAGAACCTAATATTATACATTACCTTATAAGAATTAAAGTTATGTAATAAAATAGACTTTAAGTTACTGTAAGTTCACCAATTACAGTGTTCATATCAATAATTGTCCTCTTCAGTGTACAGTTTCTTCGGCATCTCTGAGTTAGTAGTTATTGTCTCCAATGTTGGATTCCACGCTACGGCCATGCTGGACTTCAGAGGCACCCATTTGGTGTTGTGGTGGGATTTCGGAACAGGAACACATGCATCAAGCTCGGATCTGACCGGTGCCCCTGGCAGACGCGGAGCCTGCCCTTGGTTGAAGCTCCTGTTCATCACCAGTACATCGGGTGATGGGTCTGGCAAATCCTTGAGTGACATGATTTAAATTTTACCTAATAAAGCTGCTGACCATTGTACAAATGTTCACTACACTGACCATTGCACCACTGTTCACTACACTGACCATTGTTGTTGTTGTTCGTCCGTCGAAGTCGACAAGGACCATCGAATCATCCGGTTAGGGGCGGGCGGGGAGGTTGGGATTACGGTGAGCTCTTAGGTGGCTTGTTAGACCGATCCTTGCACGGAATAATCTATGACACCGTGGGCATGGAATAGTTGCTTCAGACGATGACCTAATGTTGCTCTTTCGGACAAGCCTGCGTGTCTCAGCTGTGGTTATTCTCTTAGCTTCATGGGATTTAGCCCCCTTCTTGACAGCAGCTCTCCATCTGGCTCTGTCCTGGGCTGTCTGCA